AAACTTTCATCAGGGCATATGATTTGAGTGGCTCCAGGGGGAAGGTGGCGGGATCCTGGGGGCACACAGAGACACAGCCTCCCCTCCCTGCGGGCCTCCCTCATCCCTCCACAGGCCCGGATGCATTTCCAGCTCCGACCCTGCCCCAGTACCCCTTCTGTGTGTGTCTCTCTCTCCTGCTTTATCCCCCCAAAGACTACAATGAAAGTAACAGAAGTTTCAGGAGTTGGGGGCTGGGAAGGTGGATCAGCGGTAGAGCGCTTGCCTTACATACCTGAGGCCCTGGGTTCGATTCCTCAGCACCACATAAGCAGAAAAAAGCCGGAAGTGGCGCTGTGGCTCAAGTGGTAGAGTGCTAGCCTTGAGCTGAAGAGCTGAGGGACAGCGACCAGGCCCAGAGTTCAAGCCTCACGACCGGACCCAAAAACTAACAGAAGTTTCAGGAGTTAAAGGGGAAAAAAAAACTGCCCAGCTCTGCTGGGCCCCCCTGACCAGGTCACCTCCCATTCTGGGCCCTATTTCTCCCTTTGGACCATAGGCCTCCTATGTCTCTCCCTATCCTCACACTCTTACCCACACATCCCTCAAGACTCTGACCAAATTTCCACTTACAAACTAGCTTCCCCCACCCACATATCAGGGCTTGAGCTCAGCGTCGCAACCGCTTGCCTGGCTTTTTCACTCAAGGCTGGTACTCTAGCACATCAGCTGTATCTCCACTTTCAGCTTTTTTTTGCTGGTTAGTTAGAGATAAGAGTCTCTCAGATTGTCTGCCACGGGCTGGCTTCAAACCATGATCTTCAGATCTCAGCCTCCTGAGTAGCTGGATTAGAGGCATGAAGTCACCAGTGCCTGGCTCCAACTAGCACGTCTTACAGAAATCCCAGTGAAGTAAGGAACTGCAGCAATCCCTTCCTGGGACACCTGGGGTGTGTTGCCCCTTCCCAGGATGTGGTTTCCCTCTGTACACAGGGCCTTCCGAGGAGTAGTGGCAGAGACCCTTCCTGTCCTGCAACCCTGCTCCTTTTGGTCAGCAGGGAGCCCATCTGTCTCCTTGGCTCATCTTTTCCTGGGATTGGAAGATAGCATGACTTGTGTGCTTTCACACATGATACCCCACCAAACCCAGCTCCTGGGAGCAACTGGCGAGCAAGGTGGTTTGAATGGAGGCCCACTGAATTCCTTGCTAATGTCAGAAGGTGTGGCCAAGGCAGACCTGAAAGGGACAGAAGATTGGTTGACTACCATTCAAAACCCACAGCTCAGGGCTGGGAAGGTGGCTCAGTGGTAGAGTGCTTGCCTTGCATGCATGAGGCCCTGGGTTTGATTCCTCAGTACCACATAAGCTGAAAAGTCAGAAGTAGTGCTGTGGCTCAAGTGCTAGAGCACTAGCCTTGAGCTGAATTGCTGAGGGACAGCGCCCAGGCACAGAGTTCAGGCCCCACAACTGGCAACAAAACAAAACAAAACCCACAGCTCAGCCTGAGGTCAGTGGCTCATACCTGTAATCCTTGCTATTCAGGAGGCTGAGATCTGAAGATTATGGTTCAAAGCCAGCCTGGGCAGAAAAGTCTGTCAGACTGTCATCTCTAATTAACCATCAAAAAGCTGGAAGTAAATTGTTGCTCAAGTGGTAGAGCATCAGCTCGCCTTGAGTGAAAAAGCTAAGTAACAGCACCTACTCAGACCCTGTGTTCAAGCCCCAATACTGGCAAAAGAAAAAAAAAATCTTACATCTTTGAGATTGGTATTACCGCAGCCCAGGCCAGGTAAGTCTTGGGCCTATGGCTGGGTCGGTGGGTACAAGAAGGCTGATGGGTATTTCTCCTGCTTATCCTCACCTGCCCACTGCACAGATAGAAGCAAAGACACAAGCAATGAAGGACCAGACTGAAGCCGGCATGTTCTACTCATGCTCACTCCTGACCTGTTGACTTGTTGTATGGCCACAGTTCTAACAAGCAACATGGGGTTCTAATTGGTCTCATGGATAGAAATGAGTAGGAAAGAGAATTGTCTGTATTACCATAAGGCAAATAGTCTGCTGCTGTGGAGGGAAGAGGCAGAAAAGAGAATATCTTAGCCGGCCACCAGTAGCTCACACCTGTAATCCTACCTACTCAGAAAGCTGAGATCTGAGGTTCATGGTTCAAAGCCAACCTGGATAGGAAAGTCCATGATTGTCTTATCTCCAATTAAACACTAAAAAAAAAAATTTCCAAAGTAGCACTGTGGCTCAAGTAGTAGAGTGCTAGTCTTGAACAAAAGAACTCAGGGACAGCACGCTGGCCCTGAGTTCAAGTCTCAGGAGTGGTACAAAAGAAAAAAAAGGGCTGGGCACCGGTGGCCTGTAATCCTAGCTACTCAGGAGGCTGAGATCTGAGGATCACCGGTCAAAGCCAGCTCAGGCAGGAAAGTCCATGAGACACTGATCTCCAATTAACCACCAGAAATCTGGAAGTGGCACTGTGGCTTAAAGGGTAGAGCGTTTGCCTTGAGTGCCCAGGCCCAGAGTTCAAGCCCCGCGACCACCCAGAAAAAAAAAAATCTCACACAAGGGGGCTTCTGGATCCCCCAAGGAGGGATTGCTTCCCTCCCCTCTGTGTATGACTCACAGGATGATCACAGGCTTCTAGAGACTCTGGTTACTCAGGAACTTAAGTGACCACTGGCACGTTCCCCCAGAGACAGGGAGGGGTGATCCAGTTTAGAATGGGTTCCTTCCAGAGCAGGTCTCCCAGGAGCCAGCACGTTTATCTAGAAATGTCACTGAAATAGATCTGCTTCTGTAATCGTCCGCAACCCAGGTGCTGCAGTGGCCTCTTGTGTCCTGAGCCCCTCTGTGCCAGGAGACAACACCTACTGATCATTCTTGGCGCAGGTGAAGCCTCGCCTCCTCCACGAAGCCTCCCCTGATGGCCCTATCTCATAGGGAGTGCAGGTGTCCTTCCTTGTGACCCAATAGCTCTTGGCTAACCAGACTGTTAGGACCTGCCCAGCAGTTGGCAGGACCAGGATTTCTGAGTCATTTAGGAATGTGCTGGGGTCTCCCTCACCCCTGCTCTGGCCTTCCTACGGGAGCCTCTGGGGCACAGAAGACACAGCTGCTGGGAATGACACAGCTGCACCTGGTTGTTGCTGCCTGCTCTGCCTGCCCCTCGTGAATTGCCTTGGGGGTAGCAACATAGGACCTAGCTGGCTCATCACAGTCCCCCCAGCCCCTCCTCAAGGAGCCAGGGGATGGGGGAGTGAATCAGCATGTCAGCCTGGCCGGGGCTGGGGCCTTGTTCACCTCACGCGTTCCTGTGGTACTGCTCATGTAAAGGGAACCTAGACCTGGTACCCAGGCCAGCAGTTGCACAGCGGGGGCTGGGTTCCTGGGGCACGGGCACCACACTGGGCCAGGCCAGGCAGTGCAGTTCGGGCTGAGGCCTGGGCAGCTGCTGGAATGTGATTTGGGTTATCACTCGTGGGGCCTTGAGTGGAACGTGCATATGCGCACACACAGGCACACACACAATCTGAGCATCAGCTCCTTCTCTAGACAGTGACAGAACATTGTCACTTTCCACAGTTGGGTGGGGCAGGGGTATAGGTAAAAGAATTGGCATGCAGTTGGTATTCATTTGGTGGTTTGGCGTTCTTTGATTCCTCAATCATTGTATGCCATTATACTGGAATGGTTTTTATTGGATGTGTGTGTGTGTGTGTGTGTGTGTATGAGAGAGACTTAATTATTTGCTTTTTGCAGTGGTAGGAATGGAACAGGGCTATGCACACGCAAGGCAAGTGCTCTTCCACTGAGCACACCTGCTCTGTGTGTGTCATTTGCCAGCAAAGGAGTGTTGAGGATTCAGTGGTGGTGGGGATGTTTCTCACTGTGAATGAGAAGGACTGTCTGGGCTCTTGGCCGATCTCAATGTTCCTCAGCATTAGGAATTTCATATTCTTCCCTAATCTCAACACAGAAGTCTTTTGGGAGGAGGCTGAGATATGAGGATCATGGTTTGAAGCCAGCCTAAGCAGACAAACCTGAGACACTCTTCTCTCCAATTAGCAAAAAGTCAGAATTGAAGGTGTGGGAGCATGCCACCCTTAAGTGAAAATGCCAAGCAAAAACATTAGGCCCTGAGTTCAAGACCCAGCACCAGCAAAAAAAAGAAAAAGAAATCATTTGATAACTTAAAATGTTGCTAAAGCTTTCCCTAGATGGTTTCACTAAGCTTTTTGTTGTTGTTCTTATGGGGCTTGAACTCAGGGCCTGGGTGTTTTCTCTGAGCTCTTTTGGCTCAAGGCTAGTGCTCTGTGACTTTGAGCTAAAGTCTTAACTGCCAGTTTTCTGGCAGTTAAGAATCTCTTTGGCTGCCTTGGCCGGCTTTGAACTGTGATCCTTCAATCTCAGCCTCTTGAGTAGCTAGAAGTATAGCCACTAGCTCCTGGCTTTACTAAGCTTTGGTGTGACAGTAATACTTTGGTTGCTTTAATTAATTCCAGTCATTAAAAAAAAATAATCTGGGGGCTGGGAAGGTGGCTCAGTGGTAGAGCACTTGCCTGAGGCCCTGGGTTCGATTCCTCAGCACCACATAAGCAAAAAGAAAAAGCCGGAAGTGGCACTGTGCCTCAAGTGGTAGAGTGCTTGCCTTGAGCTGAAGAGCTGAGGGACAGCGCCCAGGCCCAGAGTTCAGGCCGCACGACAAAAAAAATTATCTGTCACCTTTTGGTTTGCACAGCAGCCATGAAAACAGTGAGTGACAGCTAGTGTCCATTGGAGCTGGTGGCCTGGGAATTGGGTCTGCTCACACCTGTGGTTGATGTGGGATCGGCTTTATTATTGCTGCCTCTACTCCATGCAGATTCAGCACATTTGAATATTCTGCAAAGGAGTATGAAGGATCTTCGTTCTGTGCAAATCTTTCCAAATCAACCTTTTAATCTTGGGGAGGCCTGGAGAGGGGGAGAGTGGCTCTTCAAACCCCACAGGAGGGTGGCATTCCTACAGGATGCAGCTCCAGTGTGACCCATGTCTTCCTCTGCCCACAGCCGCCCTGGGCACACTGGACTTCAGCCTGCTGTACGACCAGGAGAATAACGCCCTGCACTGCACCATCAGCAAGGCCAAGGTAGGCCCTGCCCCTGCTCCCAGCTCCAGGCTCCTGAGGAATGGCCCAGAAATGGGAGGGCAGTCTCCCCCCATGCTTTCTGTTCAGGCTTCAAAGCGTCTATGTTGTGTGAGGTGCAGTTTGAAGGGGGGAACTTCTTACCTAGACCTATTGCCTATTCCTAAAAGTATCCTTACAAGCTGGGCACTGGTGGTACACACCCGTAATCCTAACTTAACAGAAGGCTGAGATCTGAGGATGGAAGTTCCAAAGCAGGAAAATCTGTGAAACTCCAATTAATCATCAAAGAGCTGGAAGTGAAGGTGTGGCACCAGCCTTGAGCCAGAAAGCTAAGGGACAGTGCCCAGGTGCTGAGTTCAAGTCCTAATACAGGCGGGGGGGGGGGGGGGGAGACAGTTCTGTACAGTTGGTGCATTTGGTGGAGCAAAAGCGGCCAAGGAGCCAGGCCAGGCTTGGGGGAGGCAGCCTAGAGGAGCTATTGAAGATAGGACGCAGGAAAGCTAGGTCTGTCCTGTAGGAAACAGGGAAGGCTAAATGCAGAGGTCCCCTGGCCTCCCTACCCCAAGCAGTGTGGACCCTACTAGTTTGCTCTGCAAGCTGCAGGTGCCACCAAAGGAAGCTGACACTCCAGCAAGGGCCCTGAGAGCCTTGCTGTGGGGCTTATGGGTGTCTGTGAGCCCCCTGCAGCTCTATCCATGAGCCAGCAAATGTCAGCTGTGTTCTGATCTGTGTTTCTCCATCCCCCACCACATGGCTCCCTCTGGGAGGAAGGTTCCAAAGTTGATGTTCTCTCGAAAGGTAAGAGCCTGCGTGGCCAGTAGTGTCTGGTAGGTCAGTAGAGCACCCTGTAAGGCTGTAAAGTGCCCAGTAGGGCTGTAGAAGGGCTTAGGCCAGCCCTACTCAGGGGGAGGGGCTGCCATAGAGCTGCCTGGCCCAGATACAACCTGCTCTACCCCTGTGGACACCCAGAAGGACAAACTACCTGGGCTACACCAGCCAGACGGCCACACAAGGATTATCATGGCAAGTGTGAGGACCCGCCACATTGGGCCTAGCTGCTCTATCCTCTACCCCTTCCCTTTCCTATGGACTTTAAGCCATGACTTGGGAGATGCCCAGACCCACTCCAAAGAATGGAGGTCAGGCTGTGGGCCAGGCAGACCCTTCTCCTCTCCCCTCTCCTAGCTTTACAGAGCTTGTCCAGGCTTGGGGACTAGACATTCGGCCACCCTTTTCCCTCCCCCACCCCCATGCAGATTCCAGACTCATCCTACCTTCTCTATCTTACCCCCGGTGTGCGTGTGTACGTGCATGTCTGTACGTGCACAGATCTCTGCGATTATTGGTGCATACACTAATGTGTCCGCTTAGGGTGCATATCTGAAGGCATCAGTGTGGGAGTCCCCTGAATCACAGTGGGCCCCCTCTAATTCCTTCTCTGTAATTGCATCTGTGCAGGGGAGATATGGGGCTTTGGGGTGGAGGGGAGCCCCAGAATAGGAATTAAAGCACGACTGAGGAAGTGAAGGCATGGATCAAGTGTACAGCACCAGCCTTTACCAAAAATTCTAAACAATAGTGTAAGGCCCAAATAAAAATAAACCAAATAAAGAGCTGGGTGCCGGTGGCTCATGCCTGTAATCCTAGCTACTCAGGAGGCTGAGATCTGAGGATCATGGTTTCATAACGCAGAAAAAAAGCCGTAAGTGGCATTGTGGCTCAAATGGTAAAGTGCTAGCCTTGAGCAAAAAAGCTCAGAGTTCAAGCCCCAGGACTGGCAAAAAATAAAGTAGGACTGACTCAGTTCTTCTCAGGGGGCCCTGATAGAGGGGATATATCCAGGGCTGACCCCTGCCTTGGGTGAAGGTTGGCTTCTCTTTGCTCATTTGTAAATGAGGCTCATTGCACCACCCTGTGTGGCTTCTGTGAGCTGAAAATGGGGGAACGGGCAGCACCTGTCGTTCTTAAGTACTCAGTGCCTAGTACTGTCCTGAAGGGCAGCGGCACCCACTCAGGCCACAAGGCACAGTCCTGGAGGACTTGGTCAAATAATGCAAATGTAAACTTTACCATGGTAACCACTCTGAAGTGTGCAGGGCAGCTGCAAGGTGGTGCTCCATCAATACCATCCATTCCCCAGAACTAAATTGGTTTTATTCTTTGTTTGTTTTCATTACTGCAGGTTGAAACCAGGGCCTTGCTTAGCAACCACTCTCCCACTTCAGCTGTACTTCCGGCCCTTTTAACTTTGGTTATTTTGAGGATAGGGTCTCCATTTATACTCAGCTAACCTGGACCACAGTCCTCCTATTTATGTCTCCCTGTGTAATGGGGATGGCAGATGAACATCACCATGCCCATCTATTGATTAAGATGAGGTTCTTCCAACTTTGCGTGTGTGAGAGAGAAAGAGAGAGACAGAGAGAGGGGCGGGGGGGGGCGGAGGAGCATGCGTGTGCATGAGTAAACCATGACCAGGGCTTAAACTCAGGGTCTCTTGCTCAACTTTCTTGCTCAGGACTGGTAATCTACCACTTGAGCCAAGCCTCTAGCCTACCATTTTGCTGATTCATTGGAGATGGAGTCTCACAGACTTTTCTGCTAGGGCTGGCTTTGAACCACACGTCCCTAGATCCCAGCCTTCTGAGTAGATCAGACGAGTGCTTGTCATTTCACTCAACCCCAAATCCCCCACCAGTCACTGCTGGAGCGTGTCAGAACCCTTTCCTTCTCCTGGCTGGCCAGGTGGTGACCTTTGCTTTGACAATGCGGAGAGCGGCCTCTGAGGCCCTCACCAGCCATAGCCTCTGCCATCTGTCCGGGGGACAGCAAGACCTGGGATCTGGGAGGAAGACCGTCTCTCTACGTCAACCCCATCTGAACCCTTGGTGCCAGCACCTCCTCTGCTGCCCTCCCTTGGCTTCAACTTTTGTCTCTTGTAGATATGATAAGCTGAAGAGACTCCTTCAAAAGACCCTCACCTCCTTTCTTCACAGGGTCAGGCTCCCTGTGGGCAGCCCCCGACAGACAGCTGAGGGAGGCATGCTTAAATGGTCACAGGCATGACACTGGGGCCAGGGCCAGGGCCAGGGAAGCCACCTGCATGAAGACAAGAGTAATGCCACTTCTGGCAGTGTCCATGTCAACTCTTCATGCTTCTGGCCACCTGGGTATCCAGGACTGGCCTGGGAGAGGGGTGCAGGGACCCCATGGCAGTCTAGGGGTCAGAAGGACAGAGCAGCATCACGCCTGGCGATCACACTCCCTCCTCTCCCTCCCTACCCCCCCGCCCAACCTAATCATGAGGATCCCAAAGAGCTGCAGATTTGACTCAATGAAAACATTTTAAGCCACGATAATAAGCAATTGTGTGAGAATTATAGAAATAAAACAGAAGCCTTCAGCCGTCCCCTGCTCACATGGAGTCACCAAGATTCCCCAGGATCCTTTGAATGTTGCTATAGGCTATGAAGAGAGGGCAAGAGGCCTGGATGAGCACAGGCCAGGCTTGGCCCAGGGCCCCTTGCCTAGAAAATGAGCTCCAGCCAGCCTGCCCACCCCCCAACCTCTGCCCTGTTTGGGCAGCCAAAAAGTGGTAGGTGGAAAGCCCCCTAGTTGACCATCCAACCTAGAGGCCAGGCCTGGGGGAGGAGCCCAAGAGTGCCCTGGTTAGCAGCAAGATGGGAAAGATAATGGGCCTGTTGCTGCACCTCTCACATGTCACCCCTGCCTACTCCCCCCACCAGCACCCTCTCTCCTCCTTCTCCCCCCACGGCTCCCCAGCCCTGTGCACCTACCCAGAAGTAAGAAGGCAGTTTCCTGACAGAAACTCCTGCAGGCCAGTGGTACCTGTTTGCCTCTCAGGCCATGCATACCTGAGTTGTCGAGAACTGGAAGCAGCGTTAGGAAGGGGTGCCATCTTGTGGAAGAACCCTCTAAAGCCAGGCAGCCTGTGGGTCTGGGAATAACTGGCTAGCTGACACTGAGGCAAATCCAGAGAGAAAGCTGAGCACTGAGTCCAGCCGGCCTGCCAGGATGTGGAACACACGTCCCAGCCACCAAAGCAGTATGTGCATGAGTGGGCAGCAGGTCACGTGGACTCAGGGTCAGGAAGGGAAGTGTCCAAGGAGCCCATGTTGGAGAATGGGAGAGGAACCTGGGAGACAGAAGGGCCTCCCCAAAGCAGGGCAATGAGGCTTGTTTGTCCCTGCCTCTCATGACCCCAAGGCTAAGAAAAGAAGCCCCATGGCAGCTTCCATGGGCCAGGGTGTTGTAGGGAGGGGAGACTGACTCAGCCCTACATAACCCATCTAGGACCTTGAGGTTGGGAACTTCTGCACAGAGGGTATGAAAGGGCCGAGCCCGGAGGCTCCAGGGACACGAACCATTATCTGCTGGCTGCTCCGTGTCCAACTTCCAGCTCACACCCTCTGCTGGTCTCTGCTCTAGGGCCTGAAGCCGATGGACCACAATGGGTTGGCAGACCCCTATGTCAAGCTGCACCTGCTGCCAGGAGCCAGTAAGGTGAGAAGGACAGGGTGGCATAGAATCCCTGCATCCCTGCCCCCCATGTTGGATGAGCTAGACAGCAGACAGAAACACAAAGGGAAGAGGAGAGGCACTACACCAGCCTGGACATGACACATGGTGACAAGACATTCTCTTGGCAGAAGAAACAGCCTGAACAAAAGCCAGCAAGAGGGGACATGAAGGCTGTCCCCTGCCTCCTGCAGAATCAGTGCTTCCTACAGAGGCCTGATGCTGAAGTCCTCCTCAGGGCAGCTCCTGTGGCTGCTATGACAACCTGCCACAAAGTTAAAAGCTTAAAATAACACATTTATTATCTCCCTGGTCTGGCTGTGGATTAGAAGTCTGACAGGCCTCACTACACTGAAAATCAAGATGTCAGCAGGGCTACATTCCTTCATTTCTTCTGGAGTCCGCAGAGCAATGTTATTTCCCCTCCCTTCACAGCTTTTAGAAGTTAATCTGTATGCCTTGGCTTGTGGCCCCTTCCTGAATATTCAGAGCCAACCACACACATCCCCTGACCTGCTCCGTCACACTACTTCCCCAGTCCTCTCTTCTACTTTGAAGGATGTGATGGGATGACAGGGATTCCTCTCTAGGATAGTCAGCCTTTTTTTAACTTGTCAGTCTTGGGGCTTGAACTCAGGACTGGGCACATCTTTGAGCTCTTCTGCTCAAGGCTAGCACTCTACCACTTTGAACCACAGCTCCATTTTGGTTTTCTGTTGGTTAATTGGAGAAGCTGGGTGCCAGTGGCTTATATGCCTATAATCCTGTCTACTCAGGAGGCTGAGATCTGAGGATTACGGTTCAAAGCCAACCCAGGCAGGAAAATCTGTGAGACTCTTATCTCCAATTAACCACCAGAAAACCAGAAGTGGTGCTGTGGCTCAAAGCAGTAGAGCATTATCCTTGAGCTAAAGAGCTCAGGGACAGTGGTCAGGCCCAGAGTTCAAGACCCACAACTGACAAAAAAAAAAGTCTCACAGACTTTTCCTGCCTATGCTGGCTTTGACCCATGATCCTCAGATCTCAGCCTCCGGAGGAGCTAGGATTACAGGTGTGAGCCACCAGTGCCTGGTGATCACACCCACGGGTTCCAAGCATTAGGATGCTGTCTACTTTGGAGGCCATGATTCTGCCTACTGCGCTCATTGGGTGATAATAGAATCATTTTTTTCCTTACCGTAGGCAAATAAGCTCAGAACAAAAACCCTGCGGAACACTCTGAACCCCACGTGGAATGAGACCCTCACTTACTATGGAATCACAGATGAAGACATGATCCGCAAGACACTGCGGTGGGTGAGGGTCCCGGCCGCCCGCCCCCCCCCCAGCCCTACCCACAGGGCTGCCCTGCCCAAGGCCAGAGCCCCACTGGTTGTGGAAGCATGTGGAGAGCCCCCCATCCCCCTGAGACTGAGGTGCTGGCTTTGTCCTTCCCCGCAGGATCTCTGTGTGCGATGAGGACAAGTTCCGCCATAATGAGTTCATCGGGGAGACACGGGTGCCCCTGAAGAGGCTGAAGCCCAACCACACGAAGACGTTCAGTATCTGCCTGGAGAAGCAGCTGCCGGTGAGCGGCCTCCGCCCCCACGTGCGCGGCCACAGGTGTGGGAGGCACGCGGGACTTCCTTTTGGAGGTGTGGGGGTGAGTGGACCCAGAGCCAAGAGAGGGGACCATCCCAGGAGGGGTCAGAGGTAACAGTGGGAAGTGGACACTTGTCAGTGACATTGGGATATCTGGGGGGGTTAGGGCTCAAACTTGGTATCTGAGCTAGCACATATGTGACCAGAGCCACACCTCCAACACTAGGTTTCCTTTCCTTTTGTGTGTGTGTGTGTGTGTGTGTGTGTGGCTGGTTGTGGGGCTTGAACTCGGGGCCTAGGCACTGTCCCTGCAGTCTTTCACTCAAGGCTAGCACTCTACCACTTTGAACCACAGTACCCCTTCCGGTTATGCGGTGATTAGTTGGAGATAAGAGTCTCACAGACTTTCCTGCCTGGGCTGGCTTTGAACCATGATTCTAACCCTCAGATCTCAGCGTCCTGAGTAGCCAGGATTACAGGCGTGAGCCACCGGCGCCCGGCTCTGATTTTGTGTTTTGTGCTGGGAGCAGGGCTTGGCTTTCTTTGAGAAAGGCTAGTGCTCTAACACTTGAACCACTGCTCCACTTCTGCCTTTTTTGCTGGTTAACTGGAGATGAGTCTCACAGACTTCCCTGACCTTATTGCCGTCAAACTGTGATACTCAGCCTCCTAAGTAGTTAGGATTACAGATGTGAGCCACCAGCACCTGTTTCATTTTTGGCTTATTCTGGCTGGGGCTTGACCCCAGGGATTTGAACATGCTAGACAAGCACTCTACCACTTGATCCAAGTCTCCAACTCTCTGCTTCTTGGGCTCAGATTGGCCAGAAGAAGAGGGAGGAGAGAGTAAGGCCCCTCGTAGGCCAGAGACAGACTTGCTTCCAGATGGATGTACCAGCAGACTGGGCCTCGGGTGAGGCAAAGGGCAGTTCCAGATCTGAGGCCTGAGTCCCTGGAGGAACAAGGCAGCTGTTAACTAGGGGCAGCGAGAGTGATAGCCATGCAGGAACTCAATTGGACCATGTTAGGCTTGAAGTGCTTCTGAGATGCCCAGAGGAGACAGCAAATAATTCTTTTCCTAGAAATTGCAATTGTTTGAAAATGATGTCAGAAGAGATTTTGCCCCCTGGCTGGCTTCAGCAGCTGAGCCCTCCCAGAGCTTTGGTCTCTGTTCCCATCTCTCTCACTCTCTCTCTCTCCCTCTCTCTCTCTCTCTTCTCTCTCGGTGCCTGACTTCTTTCACTGGGTGGGAAAGGGTGGGGGAAGCTGGGTGCTGGTGGCTCACAACTGTAATCATGGTTCAAAGCCAGCCCAGGCAGGGAAGTCGGTGAGACTTTTATCTCCAATTAACCACCAGAAAACTGGAAGTGGCGCTGTGGCTCAAAGTGACAGAGTGCTCACCTTGAGCTAAAGAGCTCAGGGACAGCACCCAAGCCCTGAGTTCAAGCCCCACGACCAATAACAACAACAACAACAGAAAAATGGGGGGGTGGGAAGAAGCCACAAGTGCTCAAGGCCAAGAGAAGCACTGACCCTCAGCTACCAGAATATGCACATGGACATGGGCACCTCCCTTCCAGGGGCCTGAGTGGTGAAACTCAGGAAGATAAAGCCCAGCAGCCTGTGTGGAGGACCTGGCAGGGTGTGGCCCTCAGGATGTGGACTGGCCCCAGTGCTGCCTTTTTTATGGTGTGTGTGGGTACAGTCTGAGATTTGAACTCAGGTCCTCCAATTATGTGGATGGAACTCAATTAATGAGCCACACCTCCAGTCCTGATTTTTGCTAGTTAATTGGAAGTAAGAGTCCCATGGACTTTTCTGTCTTAACTAGCTTTGAACCATCCAGATCTCAGCCTCCTAAGTAGCTAGGATTCCAGTGTGAGCCAACAACGCCTGGCTCCAGTACTGCCTGGTTTTGTACATCATGATCCATCTACTCCCTTTCGCATCTCTCCCCCTCACAGACGCCCTGCGATGGGTGGGACCTTTTCTGCCTTATTAGTCACTAACCACAGATTACCTAGTTTTTCCAAATGTTCCTCATCACTTAGGAAGGCAACACAGGCTCCCATGGTCCTTGTGTTCCTGAGCTCCAAACACACACACACACACACACACACACACACACACGCACGCACGCACGCACACACACACACACCCCTCCCTCTGTGTGAGTGGCAATATGGATGTGCACAGATTGTGTGTACAGCCCAAGCACAAAAGGAGCCTAGCACAGAGTCCTGGGAGAAGCCCTGGGGGAACAGGAGGCGTGGGCTCTAGCGGAGGGTGCCTGAAGGGGCTTCTGGGATCGTAGATGGAAGGAAGGAGCCCATTGTGTCAGGAGGACGAGGCGTGGAGAAGCTTTTCGCTGGTTGGTTGGGGGCTGCTGCCACACTGAGGCCCGCAGCCTGCCCTTGTGGTGGGGACTGGGCATGCTAAGGCACACCAGAGACTGGGTGGCTTCCCTGCCGCACTCCCAGCCACCCTGGGGCTGGAAGAGGCAAAGGTCCAACTTCCAGTCTTTCACAAAGCTGTTCCCTGAAAGATGCTAGGAAGTGACCCAGGACACTGGAGCTAGGGGAGGCTTGCCTTCTAGAATGTTCCATGTAGCCTGGACAAGCCTTTCATCTTTTCTCTGAGGCCCACCCTAGCATGAAGTTGAACCCAAAGGGGACCATCTGACACACTGTTTGTTCCCACCTGAAGGTTAGAACAAGTTTCTGTCAGATATAGCTCAGTGTCAGGCCTTTAGCCAGCTCTGAAGTTAAAAACTATCCAACTAAGCCACGTACCAACGGCTCACACCTGTAATCCTATCTACTCAGGAGGAGGAGATCTAAGGATCACAGCTCAAAACCAGCCAGGGCAGAAAGTCCCAGATTCTCTTATCTCTACCAAACTATCAAAAAAAAAAAAAAAAGCCAGAAGTAGACCTGTGGCTCAAGTGATTGAGCACTAGCCTTGAGCAAAAGCAACTAAAGGACAAAGCCTAGGCCCTGAGTTCAAGCCCCAGGACTGGCGTGTGTACACACACACACACAAAAAAAAACACACATACACACACACACAAGTAGATCTAGGCTCACTGGCTAACACCCATAAATCTCATCTACCTGGGGGACTGAAATTGGGAGGATCACTGTTTGAGGCCAGTCCTGGGAAAAAAGTTAAGACCCCACCACCACCATTTCAACCAATAAAAAGTGGGGCGGGGAAGGTGGTTCAGTGGTAGAGTGCATGCCTTATATGCATAAGGCCCTGGGTTCAATTCCTCAGCATCACATAAGCAGAACAAGTCAGAAGTGGTGCTGTGGCTCAAGTGGTAGCATGCTAGCTTTGAGCTGAAGAGCTGAGGAACAGCATCCAGGCCCAGAGTTCAGGCCCTGTGACCAAACAAAAAAAAAAAACAAAAAGTGAGGCATTATAGTTCAAACCCATCATCTCAGTTACCTGGGATCACAGTCCAAACTAGCTTGAGCAAAAAGTTAAGATTCTTCTTGAAAAATAATGAAAGCAAAAGGGCTAAAATCAGTTGAGCACCAGTGGCTCACACCTGTAATCCTGGCTACTCAGGAGGCTGAGATCTGAGGGTCACAGTTCAAAGCCAGCCCAGGCAGGAAAGTCTGTCAGACTCATCTCCAATTAACCACCAGAAAACTGGAAGTGGTGCTGTGGCTTAAAGTAGTAGAGCACTAGCCATGAGCAAAAAATGCTCGGGGATGGTGTCCAGGCCCTGAGTTCAAGCCCCATGATAATAAAAGGGAGAAGGGCTAGAATCATGACTTGAGCAGTACCAAGCCTGTATGGCATGCTCAAGGATGTAAGTTCAAATTCCAGTACAAAAAAAAAATAGAATCTGTCTTCCAGAGACCTAGAATCTGAGGGGAGACACATGAAGAAACAGGGACCAAAGCAGAGAGAGAGGATAGCCAACTTCCAGGTCAGGAAAGCCCAGGCTGGAGCCACTTGGGTGGTACCCAGTCCTAGAAAGAGCAAGGCTCATGGGTAACAGGACAGGAGGGCGCACTGGAGAGAACACAGCCTGAGCTAAGGTGTGGCATATGAGCTGACCTCAGCGCTGAAGACCTCAGAGCAGGCCAGGTTTAAGGCAAGATGGTGAATATGTTAGGCTTTTTGGGCCTGACCATCTCTGTTCACCCACTCATTTCTGCCACTGTAGAGCCAAAGCAGCTTAGAGGAGATATAAATGGAAGGATAGTACTATGTTCCAATAAAACTTTATTGATAGACACTAATTTTTTTTTTATGGAACTGAGGTTTGAACTCAGAGCTTTGAGCTCACTCAATTTATTGCTTGGCTGAGTTACTACTTGAGCCACACCTCCAGCCCTGCTTTTTGCTGGTTATTTTGGAGATGGAGTCTGGAGGACTTTCTTCCTGGACTGGCTTTGAACCCGTGATCCTCTTAGTCTCCTGAGTAGCTGGGACTACAGGCATGAGCCATCGGTGCCCAGCCTAGGTTATTTTTTGAGATAGAGTCTTGTACTTTTTTGCCCCAACAATCCTGTAGCTGCAGTCATCCTAACTATGCTAGGATTATAGGTTGTGCCACTGTGTATAGACTTTGCCTTTTTTTTTTTTGACCTTTCAAGAAGGAAAAAAACACTTAGCCCTCACTTATGAAAAGTCAGCATCCAGCCTGACTTGGTCTGTAGATCTGTATATGCTGAGCTGAGACATGCAGGGCCATGGCGCCAGGCCCAGGCCACGGGTGCCAGGAGCTGGGAGGGTCAGGGTCAGGGGTCCACCGCAGACAGATCCCTTAGGAAGGAAGAGGTAGCAGAAAAACCTGAGAAGACACAGCTGGGGCCACTTGCAAGGAGCCCTGACAAGGCCTGGCTGTGCAGCACAGGTGTCCACCCTAGAGAAGCAAAGAGAGCTGAGTGCCTGCCCCGCCCAACAGGTGGACAAGACAGAAGACAAGTCCCTGGAGGAGCGAGGCCGTATCCTCATCTCTCTCAAGTACAGCTCGCAGAAGCAAGGCCTGCTGGTGGGCATCGTGCGCTGTGCACACTTGGCCGCCATGGACGCCAATGGCTACTCAGACCCCTACGTGAAAACGTGAGTGTGCTGCCAGGCCTGTGCCCGCATCCCCCCCTCCCCACTGGCCAGGGCTGTGCCCAGCGCGGCCATAGTTGCTTCCTTTGACAGCTCAGGAACGGACAAGGGAGGGTTGAATGTGGCCAATCTGTTTCACAGGTGGGGAAACGGGCTCAAAAGAGCTGAGTGCTTTGCCCAGGGTCACATGGAGAATAGTTACCTCCTGGTGCTATTCCTCACCCGTGACCCTCGGGTGCGGAGTCACGTGTACATTGGGGAAGGGGACAGGAGAAGGTTGGTAGCCATGCCGGGAGAGGGCAAGAGGCTGGAGACGTGGTAAGGGAGCTCGCTGGGGTCCGTCCCATGTGCCCAGCCCTATATTTGATGATGGCACTGAGGTGAATAGAGGCTCACGCCAGTGACCTGAACCCGTCAGGTCAGGGAAGACTGCTTTGAGCCTGGCGGGACAGATGTGGTCAGGAGTGAGGA